CCGTCTTGCTTTCTCAGTGGCTTGGTATTCTTTAGCCATCTCGAGTGCCACTTGTTGTTGACGGTTAATTTCTCGTCTCCAGGTCGATGCCTCTGACTGCCTACTAATACCACGCTTCAACGAGGTCGTCATAGCACGCAGAGTCGTATGCGCATCCCAGCTGAAAACAAGGATATCAGCCAATCAGGAGTCGACTTGCATTTTGATGGTTCTCAAGGGGTCAGGGCTCCCGCCCTGGACCTAAATAAATAATGAGTTTTTAATTATCTACGGGTTTAATACTTTCTTTATTATTGCGAGCTTCCTCATCGCTACGTGTAAGCTAGTAAGGGTAAATACCTGGCCCGGTACAGTTGCTCGAGTACTACACAGCTGGTAAGGAATGCGAAGTGGTCAAATGTGCTTTGTCAATCTAATTGCTGTGTATTTCTTTTATCGATTGATACGCTAGTTTCTCACGCTCCCCCTCCTGAAAGTTTTGCCGAAGCGCATGGAGTTTCCAAAACTTCCTGCTGGGCGCAATGTCGCTCCCAAGCCTGTCCATCCAGTGCCCACCGCTTCCGTTGCAGTGTATTCGCAAGCTTCACCTGATGTTGATAATGCTACGCTAGTATCTTCGACTACAACGGCGTGTGCACCTACGTCGCCACGGTTGGTAGTCCACCGAACTACTACGAAGAGATAGGCAGACTTCAAAATATTCTTTGGACCTCACACATTGGACCCCCTCTGCTTTAGCGACGTGGCAACCACTACCAGGCTGGGAACGTATATTAGCCCACCTGACGACCAAGGACACCACTCCGCTTTGCAGACAACTCGTCGACCCCTACGTCTCTTGACTAGGCTCGACCAAACACCTCCCTCAAAGATCCCGCTATCGGAAGCGGCGAGCAACGGAAAGGAACAAGAACACACACAAGGACACGTGGATTGGTTATCCGATCTACACCCCATACTAGACAGCCGCGTGAAGAAGTATCCGCGCGGCAGTCAACGATCCCAAGTACGTCCATACGGTTCACACGACCAACACCGTAGGCATCCTCAAGTCACTGGACGAGTACAACCCCGCCCCGCCGACGGGCACACAAGGTGAGAAGAACCTCAGCATCAGCGGACATTCGGAGCACCCCATCCGTTAGTCGGTCGTCCGAGGCACTGTAGCGAGCTGGACCAAGGCAGTCACCAAATTCTGTTAAACCACTCCGTAACAATAGTGCGCGCGCCCGGATTCGAAACAGGGATTTCACGGCATTATACAAATACTATCCTCCTCAGTGTGTGGCCACCCCACTCACGACCTCAGCCTGCTGATGGCTTAATCAGCGTTCGTCTCCACTTCATGCGATTGCATCACATTGAAACGGTCACGGCTGGTACGCCCGTGTTCATATTCGTACAACAGGGCGGCGCAACTGAGATCGGCTTCGTCCACCTATGGCGGCTCGTCATAGCCTTTCCAATAGACTTGAAATTCTCGGTGTACCCGCCCATAGCGGGTATGTCTTCCTGATCGCATATCCGCGATCCGTTCTACTTTGAATTTGTCTTCGTTCAGTGGAGTTTCCCAGCTATCGTCCGGCAACAATTCTTCATCGATATCCACCCGGTCGTTGTCTTCGGTATTCAAGACAACCTTTGGTCGATCTTGGAATGTTCGCACTGGTTTCAATTTCGACAGGTGCACTATCGGTAAAATGCGATACCCTGAACCGGCTGTCTCGAGACGAGCTGCGTCATTGCTGATCAGCTCGATTACGCGAAATGGTTCGTGCCACATGTGTGCGAGCTTACATGCGTAACCTTCCTTTACGCGATCCAGGTAAAGCCATACCTGTGTGGTCTAACGTTTTCGTTAGGTTGGTCAGCCCTAGACTTGATCGCGTCGCGCAGACTCTCATTGACCACTTCCCTGGCTGTGTGATACTGTCCCTGTTTGCGGTACCTCCACCTTCGTGCATCACAATCGCGGCGACGTGTCGATCCTACCGAAATAGCCGCTTCGAGTGTTGACCGCGGACCTCATCCATGGACCAGGAAGAACGACGTCTCTCCCCTCACTCGATCATGTGCTGTATTCAACGCAAACGTCAGCAGCTCCCGTTAGTCGTCCCAATCTTGTTGGTTGACATCTGCAACATACATCTTCAGGGCTCGTGTCAGTATTTGTACCGTCCGCTCGGCCTTGCCGTTCCCTTGTGGACGATAAGACATTGTTGCGCTCTGCCTCATCTTCACGATACGGTTGAAATCACGGAAAAGTCTGACGTAAAGCCCGGCTCTCGATCATGCCTGATGACTTCGCTTGCGCCTAAAAGACGGAAGACACATTCTTCGTAATTCTCGGCTGCTTGCGTCTCTCTCGACGGTCCAGCTTTGGCGATTACATAGCCCGTGAACAAGTCGGCCCAAATCAGCAATTCGGTGTTCCCCTTGAACGACTTCGGCAATGACGGGATGTGGTCCATGGAGATCACCTGGAAAGGATACATACCCTGTATATTCCCTGGTGACTCTCCCTGACCCGTTGGCTTTTCCTTCCCGGTTTAACAACTGGTGTACTCACCCACGTAACGTTGTACGCTTCGATACAATCCGCGCCAGTGAAAGTTCGCTTGAATCCTCCGGTACATCCTTCCGACACCTTGATGGTCCCTTCTAGACCGGCATGGTAATGATGAAGGAAATCTCGTTGCAAGCTATCGGGTACTACCATCCTGACGACGACATCGTGGTCTTCGTCTCGTTGCAGCGTTTTGGGGCAAAAGAAGAGCAGCCCATTTTCGTCTACTTCATAATTCGCAGCAATCTTCGAACATGCCTTCGCCTCTCCTGCCGTCAAGGCATTCACCTCCCCGTCCAAGTACTTCTTCAGGTCTACAATCCATTTTTCTTCATCCTGTGACTGCCTGTTCCTCTGATATAGTATGCGTTGTATGATAGATTCTTCCATCGCTTTCGGTGCGTGACGTCGTCTCTCGGAGGATCGGGTGATTGCGTTTACGCGACGACTAAGCCAATCAGCTTTGGTTCTAGCTTCTCGCCCAGTCGGTTGAGGGTGATCAAATCTTGGCGGTCGTCTTCTGAGGTGATTACTTCACCTTCTTCCCGTTGTAACGCCGCGCTTCCTAACTTGTCTGCACTCCGATTTCATTCGCGCTTCACGTGGAGGAACTCGTGCTTTGGTCATGAGCGCAGCCGGTTTAGCTCTGTCGGAGCAGCTGCAAGCCTGGTGCTTTGTAGTCCATTTCACCTTGAATCTAGCGAATCACCAAATTCGAGTTACCACAAATTACGACGCGCCCCTTGTCCAAAGTCGATAGCAAATCGAAACAAAGTATCCGTCCATGGTATTCTGCCTCGTTCACCGTCAAGTCAGGCGTGTAGGCTCTACGACCGTCCTTTCAGGGAGTTTCCAGACGACGCACTCCATTGCGGCGTTTTACTCGCGCAAATCCATCAATATTCACCACTAAGAGATTCTCGTCGGTGGAGGCATGGTGATCATTTTGCGTGGTTGTTTCTTTGGTGCTATCGCGACTAGGGCTTCATCCACATCTGCTCTGGGAGTGATACTAGCTGCGATTGTTCCAATGATTTCTTCTTCGTCTTTTACACATTTTGTGACCTCCAACGTCCATCCCGACAGCAGTGCGGCCCATCTACCCAATCGATCGTCAAACCCGTTCGACTTGAGCAGCCAGGCCAAGGTTGAGAATCGCGACAGGACCTTGATCGATCTGGTCACCAGTTGTGATCCAAGATCCACAGAAGAGCCAATAACTCTTTATCCACCACTCCATAGTTGAGTTCGTTTGCCTTCAACGTGCGACTGGTGAAGGTCCCCGGATGGTATACACCTTCGTGTTCCTGCATCAATGCCGCTGATATAGCCCATTTGTTCGCGTAGAGCAAGATGACGGGAATACGTTCTGGGTCGAAGTGTTTCAAAACTGTCGTGGCGATACTCTTCGCTTTCAACATAGTGAATGCATTCTTCGCTCTCGCTCACCTATCATGCTCGCCCCAGTTATTAGGCCGTCATCACCACGCGTCTCCCGAGTCCCTTCTGGGTTCATCCTGGTGATTTCGTGAAAGTCCGCTTCCCGCAACTCGTACAGGATCGCGGCGTAGACTGCGAAGTCCTCCATGAAACAACTGTAATAATTCAAGCTTCAGAGGAATGACTGCATCGCTTTCAGTTTAGTGGGGAACGGAAGGTTAGCGATTAAATCCAGTTCCGTCGGGTTTGCTTCCAGACCGGCCGCGGATACTTTGTGTCCCAGATATGCCACCTTGCATCGGCCCCAGTAGCTCTTAGCTACGCTGATCGACAAGTTCCACCGTCCACCGACGTCGAGCAGCTTGTCGACCCGTTTGTACATGCTATCCCACGAGTCGCCGGTCACGAGAATGTCGTCCACGTATGACCTCCACCTGGCTTAGGTTCAGGCTCCGGCTCCTTCCTTGAAGACGTCAACGGGGTCCGATATATCCTGATCGGGCTTGATGCGCATGTGACCGTATAATGCATTGTCGACGATCCGTTGATAGATCTGAGGGGCGTTCCTCATTAGGATTCCGAACGGCATCCTCGTCCACTCGAACACCCAAACGGTGTCATGAACGCCGACACCAGCCTCGCTCGCGGGGTCATTGATACCATCCAGAAACTGCTGGCCATATCAAGGGAGCAATACCACAGCGCCTTATCTATATCTTCGAGGAGGTCGTTGATCAACGGCATGGGATACACCATCAGTCTCGTCAAACTCTTCATCACCTGGTAGTCGGTGCAGGGGCGGATGTCGGCTCTGTTAGCCTTGATGATGACTACGATGGGTGACGCCCAGGGCGAGGTGGAGTTGATGATGAGCTTTGCCGACAGCAGGCCCTTTGAGAAGCATCGACAGCTTCTCGCGGAATTGTGGCACTACCCGTCGGCAGCACTGTGGTACCGGTTTAGCCGTTTCGACATCAATGTCGCAAATAGCTCCGTGAGAGGCTGGTGGTAGAGCGTTAATGGCTCCTATCAGCAAGTGGCATCGCTTCCCGATCATGCGGCGCAGCCGCTCACATTTCTCCTGGGTCGCGTGCGGATCTTCTACTCGTATATCATCGAGACTTGCGATTCCACAATGGAAGATTGACGCGAGCTTTTCAAATTTGCAGATGTGGGTAGTCTCGACTGACCGCAAGACCGACGTGACCGGATGCGTGTTATCAAGTGAGTTACTCGTCAAGTTTGATAGCACCCTTGATCAAGCTGATGCATCTCCTTTGTGGTAGCTTCTACTTCCGCCAGGACAGCCATCTTGTTTTCGATGTCTTCACGGAAGATATCTCCGCCCTCGTGATAACAGACATCGTTCGTCCATTTCGTCGTCAGTTTCTCCTTCTGGTTCAGCTAGCGTCCCTCTCTGTTCTGTTGATCGCGGCTGCTCTCGATCACTTTCGGTTTCTCCCTGTAGATCTATCGTATTGGTATGACTCTCTTCCTCCGGTCGAAACCCTGCCGATTCTTCACCCGAGGTCCCTTGTGCGGTGTTCAACTCCTTTGCAGGAGCCGACAGGACGATCATCGCCTTCCGGTGTTCTTGTCTGCCCGATAGGATCTTGGTCGTCGGCTTGTATTGGGGCCTGTCTACCACTGGTTCTGTCGCAGTTCCGACCACCTCGTCCACAGCCTGCTGTTCAGTGGTGGCTTGCAGAGCCAAGTTTTGCCGCTCAGCGTATTTCCGTGACCCGATCGAGCCGAAACCTGACATTCATGGTACGTGGTCTCCTGCCAACCAGATACCGACTCGAGTATCGTGTTGTGGCGTCACTGATCGTTCTGACACATTTGTTATACGCTGGTACTGTGTACGATCTAGTCCCTTGATTGCGGTCGGTACCCACTTTTCTCTACGGGTAACCCACTATTTCTGTTTATCAGGCGCACATCTGCGGATGGCGATCTCCACCGATCCTGCAACCGGAATCTTGTAGTGTTGATCGAAGGTGATCAACCTTGAGCTCTCGTTAAAGAGCTGGTGACGCCCGGACAGCTGAATCCTTACTTCATCCGGGAGGCACGGCGACCTGTCGGCCATGTCAAGGCGGATTCCTGTCCGTACAATGAAAGCCATCCCTAATATCGCCTCTTGACCTGACCGTTCTCCGACCCAAGCGTCAAAGTAGTACACATCCGCTCCCGCGATCGTGATCTTGATCCGGGTACGCCCCTCTGTCATATACGCATTCCCCCCCATGCCAACACACTCTTGCTTTTGACTGTCGTCTATAGCGCATCCGACCCTACGAGCAAAGGTAGAATCCACAATGGAGACTTCAGCTCCAGAGTCGAAAAGGAGCGTGGCCTTTTCGTTGTTGTCCTTGGCGGTTGACTTGGCTTGCTTGAACCATTTACCTGGAGCGTGGTACTTTCTGTACCCTCGCGATTCTCCTGGCAGGAGGTCCAGCTACATGATCACATCTGATCGAGAATAATCATTCTCTCGCAAACTTGCGACTGTAAAGGTACGCTTCTCGTGCAATTCACATGCATTGTCGGTCAGCTTACTAATCTTCCGTGTCTTCCGCTTCTCGACGTATGCATAAATACAGATCTCAGAACGCTCGGCTGGTACCAGATTCAAACCTGGCGGGCGTTCTAATTTAGCATCTTTTCGGCATTAGCTGGCAACATTCTCGCATGCTTGTTTGGGACGTACTCAGTTGTAGAACTCCTCCATCGGACACTTTCCGGGTTCATGAATCTCTCCACACGCGCGACAGACGAAAAGACAGTGATCGGATGGACGCCCCTTCCTGCCGTACGTTCGTCACGTCAGCCGCTTCCAGCAACCGAGGTTGTTGTGCTTCGTTGATCCGCAGTGGGTACAGCTTTTCTAGGACATTATGGGATGATCGACTGTGCCTTCTCTGTGCGCCGGTGTGTTCGTGTGGTTCTCCCGGTCTTTGGCTGCTGCAAGGTACACGCGACGACATTCGTCTTCTTGATCCAAGGTACTCAAATCCGATTCCGATTCATTGCGGCCTTCTGCTACCCGGATCACTCGCACTGCTCGCGTATTCTTCGAGGACGCTGACGAAGGTTCGGGTGCTGCCTTCTGCCGGATCTTGTTTGTTCCCGCATGGGTTTTCCCTTGGCGGGCTTTCGCGAGTTGTCACCCCATAGTGTCTCCTCCAGATCTTCAGCGTCGGTTAACCGCAGCAGCTCCAGCGGATCCGCAAGATCTCGATCATCCAACGTCTCGATGAAATACTCGACGTGCTCGGGCCGTGTGCCAAGAGGTCCATCCTTGACCTGCGGCTTAGCTCGCAAGCCCGCCACGTTGAGTCGGTGCAGATATTCCAAGGGTGACTGGTCCGATCGTTTCTTCGCGTTGTAGTACGGTCGCGCGACAGACACTCCTCGTCCGCAGTATGGCGTCTGGAACGCCTCAAACCAGCTCTTCCAGTTGCTCCTCGTTGATCGACTCAACTGCCGGTACCTGTTGCGTGCTGATCCCGTAAGGAGATTGCCCAATACCAGATATTTTTCGCTGTCCGGAGCTTGATCGCAGACGAACGCGGACTTCACTTTGCCCAGCCAACTCATCGAGCGGTCCTCGGCGTGATCTTTGACAGAGTATTCCTTCAACTCCGAGATCGCTGACACTCGTATATGTGGCGTCGTCGTCGAGGGGTAGAGGCCGCTCCTGCGGATGCGATCACCGCTTGTGGAGGTGTGTCGATGCTCAAGTTGTCTGGAACGTACTCTCCATGTGAGTCGTGGTCGGACTCCACTGATTCCATCTCGGTGTGGCCATGGGTGTTGGTCCATGCGATGATCGATCAGGCTTAGTGTTAGCCTGGCGTTCCAATAACATCTCTGCTCCGGACGGACCAAGCACCATCCGCTGCAGGTCAACGGGGCTATCCGATTCTGCTTCCGACGTGGCCGACGCGTACTGCGACGACCCTGCCTGATATTCTGGGTTACGGGTCGGTGTCAGCTTGGCCGTCTCCGGTTGTGTGACTGACCCGACCAACGGTTCCAGCTTTTCGTACAGTGTTCTCGTCGAGCGTTGGATCACCGACGTCTCGAGATCGAAAAGCTCACTCGCATTAAACACCTCTGGTATGATGCCTGCATCTTTCAGCATTCGCAAGCGCTGGGTCGCTGCCTCTAATTGTCGGGGCGCCTCGACGGTTCTAGCGTCGGACCTTGGAGTTCTCCGATCAACGTCGGGCGTAGGTTCTTCATCACTGGGTCGTCCAGCAAGAACGATAAGAGGTCTTTCTTGTAGAAGGTCTGCGCCAGATCTTCGTTGATCCACTGTTGGTCCCCGCGGTCCTCCGTATCGGAGTTAGGCGCTTTCAGTTGCTTTCGGGCTGACTTCAGCTTCTTCCTCTTCACGGCGTCTCGTGAGGCCGGTGGGGTGATTGTAGATGAGGTTCTTTTGGCTTGCGCCGTCGGAACTTCACCCGGAGGATGCCGACCTATGTCACAGTCCGCGGGGGCTCCCAAGGGGCCCTAGGGAGGAGGGCAAGATTTCTCTTCCAGGTCCATGTCAGGACCTTCCTCCTTGGCATCGTCAGAGCTCCTCCCAGCCTCTGACTTTGCGTGCACCCTGCTTCACTCAGCAGCGTCTGCGGCGA